AAATGTGGATGGCTTGGAACATTTACTTCAGTGTTCAAGTACTGCAGTCCATTCACAGATTGATTTTACAGATTTAAAAGCTGATGATATTATTTTAGATTGGCACAAGTCTTAAAAACATTTTTGAAAAATCTTATTGCATCAGTTGTAGACGGCTGGCCAAGTCATCATTTTGTACAACTGGATGGCAACTTTTTGTTAGAAGCTGGTAACAGGCATTTTCTTATAGTTCAAGCTTTGGTGAACAAGACTATATGTGTTACCACTTCTGATTTTTGCTTTATAGCCAAAAATTTGAGAATATTTAAATTTTGCCTATTAAATCACAGGAAAAAATTATATTTTCCAACATTGTAATATCAATGGGAAATCACTGTAGTATCATTGGTATATTATTGGAAACATTCATTAAGCTTCCAACGTTGGGAAATGGTTATATACTCCAACGTTGGTATATTCAATTAATTACCAACATTGGTTGACATGTTTCCAACATTGGTATATTATTAATTACCAACATTGGTTAACATGTTTCCAACTTTGGTATATTATTGATTACCAACATTGGTTCACATGTTTCCAACTTTGGTATATTGTTGATTACCTACATTGGTTCACATGTTTCCAACATTGGTATATTATTGATTACCAACATTGGTTCACATGTTTCCAACTTTGTATATTATTGATTACCTACATTGGTTCACATGTTTCCAACATTGGTATATTATTGATTACCAACATTGGTTCACATGTTTCCAACTTTGGTATATTATTGATTACCTACATTGGTTCACATGTTTCCAACATTGGTATATTATTGATTACCAACATTGGTTCACATGTTTCCAAGTTTGGTATATTGATTACCAACAGTGGTTCACATGTTTCCAACATTGGTATATTATTGATTACCAACATTGGTTCACATGTTTCCAACATGAATTGGCATATTTAATCATGCAATTACAAATTTCGTTACATTACGTTATAATTGGTTCACATGCATCTAACACTTGTTGGTTCTCATTCCGTAAATCTTGAAAATAAGCTTCAAACATGCACAATTAAGCTAAAAACCGTTTATTATAGTGCTTTTAATTTTAATTATAATTATGATGAACACTTCTACATGATCAACAACAAAAAACGCATGATATATATTATGTACCATCAAACTTTCTTAATGTAAACAGAAATATAAATATTATATATTAAATAGAGCGTATAATAATTATAATGGTATAGTTTGTTTCCGCCACAGCTGCTATAGAAGTTCATCAATGGCTGTGACTACTTTTACTTGTTTTCTCAAAATGTTCTTGTAGTTAATTATACCCTCTGATTCAATTTCAACGTGGTGAGCATCAATCAGTGCTTTGGCTAAGGGTATGACCATTTCATATTTCCCTTGCGAACGGCATTTAACTTTTAGGACTTTTCCTAATGGCAAAAGATGGTTTCGTACGGTAAGATGCTGCAATGACAGGACCTTAAACGTGGCCAACATGATAGAGCGTGCAGATTTTAAGCTCAAGTCAGCTATATCATCACTCGGTTCATCATCGCAGTCACCTACAGTACAAAAAATGTTAAACCTTTAATACAATAATACGAGAGACCTCCTGTTTATTGCACTTTCTCAAAATGTCTCGTTTCCGTACATTTTGTACACAGAAGGGTAAGGATTAGACATGAGGTTGGGTTTAAGATCAAAATTATAAACATGGTCATATAACCTGTCTGCCAGCATTCTAAAATAGGCAAAACATGGAAAATAGGCCATTGGGAAATTGCAATAAACCGGTCTATTGTTTCTATTCCATCATTAAATCTGTACAGTAAGTAAGAATTTCAATCTACAAGCATTTCCTACCTTCAGTCTCTGAGCTTTGCACAGAGTCTGTGCTCCATGTATCAGAGCATGAACTGTTTGTGCTATCTTCACTTCGTTTTGCCCGCTTTGCCGGTGTATGGGGTATCTTTAAGGGGAGAAATCAAAATAAGCTGTCAGCGCTCAAGGAGTAACATCACACTACACAGTATGATACAACTATATGCAGTATGCACATTAGCAACTTGCACATTAATCGCATACCATGATAATAACAGAAAGTGATCAGTCACATGACAGACAGAAATGGACGTACTAACTAAAAGTGATTCAAATAAGTTTACCTCATAATTGTATCCATCTTCTATTTTACGATTCTTCTCATGGAACCACTGTAGCAAATGATGCTTAATTGCTTCTACAAAGAAAAAGATACACAGTATGACATATAGTAATTGCATACTTGTGATTTTTTTTACAAATTACTAGCTACAATTATACAATTTTACTGTCGATCCAATGATTGAATTCCAGTAATTCCTCGTGTTGAACATGATATCTCACTCTTTTGCTGTGCTCACTTGTGAGATATCATGTTCAACACTCAAAATAAATCTGCGCACCCATGTATTATAATTTCTCTATTTAACCGCTAGCACGCTTTTAGGAGAGGTACTTCTTTTGAAGGTTTAGTTTATTTACAGGTAAACTACGTGAAGCGTTCCTCTTTTGAGTTCCTAACTCATTTGGAATTTTCATAATCTGCTTTGCAAATTTGGAAAACGCTTTGCAAATCCTTGAGGGAATTTGCAATTTTCCTGTCGGCCGTTGCAATATTCCAACGCAAATAAAGTTCCTTTCAAATTTTCCTAACTTCCTGTTTTAATTTTCTGACTTCCTGTTCTGTTCTGAGCGTTATCATTGGCGGATTATTTTTGTTAGCCAATTAGAATGCGAAGAACAGAACAGGAAGTTAGGAACTTGTAACAGGAAGTTAAGAACTTCTAACAGGAACTGAGGAAAATTTATTTGGCTCTTGAACATTGCAAATTCCCTCAAGGGATTTGCAAGGGAGTTTTTCAAATTTGCTAAGGTAATGAGGAAAATTGCAATCAAGTTAGGAACTTAAAAGAGGAACGCTTCACGTAGTTTACCTGTAACAATTTGTAACAACCTTGTTGATATTACCAGGCTAGCTAGCTTGTTATAAAAGGTTGTTCCAACAAGTCCGATACAGTCACTTGATATAGCAGTATTGTTACAACCTTATGTCATCAACTTTGTAACATTCTTGTTTATCGATCATGCCTATATCAGATTTGTTAGAACAACCTAATTGTGACAAGTCTGATAATGCCACCAAGCTTGTTACAAGTTATTAACAGCTTGTTCCAAACTTGTTACAACAACTGGGAACAAGCAGTGCGAAGACAACTTGTTGACAGCTTGTGAACAGATTTGTAACAACTTGTAATTTGCAGACTTGTAACAACTTGTGCGTTTTTACGTGTGTACCACAAGGTTCCCTGTGCTTCAAACTTTCAGATTCGCAATGCAAATGCATGATTAATTACACGAAATTTGATTTGTTCGGCAACCCTTCGCGTTGTGAATAGTTACCGAGATAACTTCTCTATGATAGGATGTTACAGAGATGTCGGTTTAACTTGGCCTCGAATTTGGCAATTTTAAAACAACATGACGGCCAGAATGGCATCGTCACATCGATCATTACGGACTCAAGTAAATTTGCATAAAATAAGGCGTTACATCGTCTTTGATAGAGGGTCCTGAAGGGGTAAAATGGGAACTGGGATTGATCTATTTTAGACTGGGAAAATGGGATTTAGGTTGCTGGGACTGGGATTTGGCCCCTGGGAATGGGAAATGAAGTCCTCAAAAATGGGAATGGGATTGAGGTAATGCGAGTCGATTCCCAATTTTTCTACGTTTTAAGTATTTTAAAATACAATTTTGATCCGTTTTGGGTGTCTTTGGTCACATTTTTGTTAACTATATTATTCACATCACTACCTGTGAACAGGCATACTCTAGCGCCCGGAATTCTGGTTTTCTGATTATGCGTGTCTCGGAATGC